AAAATAAAGTATCAACTCCCTTTGTTCCACATTCAAAAGCCTGCACTTGTCAAGAAATATTCTCCCCATAATTTCTCAACTGGCTCTGGCAACATGCCAGGTGTAAACCATGCCAAATTAGCTTAACAAAGGTGTAAGTATTCTCAGACAAAAAGATCTAACACGTGACTGGTTTATGTGATGTTCTTTCAATTAGCCATATTCCAATAAGCCTCAGTTTTAACTTCATAAGCCTCAGAATTAATTTGGCATTGGTGAATTCTCCTCCCCCTCAGTAATTAACTATTTAGCTGTGGCTAATGAAAAAAGAAGTCAAATTGCATATTGGTTTTATCAGAAGTTATAGGTAATTAATTAAGCATTGGTTCTATTTAAACTGATTAAGTATTAATATGAAAATTAAGCAATCAGTGCTGAGTTAGCCTTCATTTTCATGTTCTATATGCTCAACTGCATACACAAACATAACAGTTTCTTTTCATTATAAATACTCTTTGGAAATTATTCATATTTTTGTCTTTAGTTATTTTCAAGCATTTAGGAAGGTTTATGGCAGTTAAATTAAAAAAAACTTAAAATGCATAAAGAAGAAACTCATAAGAACTGGAGCTGATGCTACACAAATATACAGTAATAAATAGTGGGTCATTCATTACACCCTATTTAACATTACAAACTGGTATCATCACGATGAAGAAAAATGATAAAATTTGTCATGTTTTGTTGATCCATCCTGTGATCAAAAAGTATTTTTCCTCCTAAATTGTCCATCCACCAAGTATGTTTAAAATGTCACAGACTATTTCCTATTACAACTATCAAAAACAGTAAAACACAGCATGAAAAACATTTTATTTTAAATAAATATGTTTTATTATGAGTATTTTGACCCATCTTCCACATGCCTATAGTAAAGGGGAAAATCCAAGGCCAGTTAGAATAAAGAAGAAGGTACTTAAGGAGCAGGGGATCTGCAAATGGATAGGACAAGTGTAATAAACACCATTTTAAGATCATACTGTAGGAACCAGAAGGGACTGAATGCGTGTTTAACCTTAGGACTTCTCTTTTCCTAGCTCTTAAAATATCATGCCAGTTAGAAAAAAAATATGTAAGGATACAGTTTCATCCTATTCTGCTCCAGGAATTTAGGATCATTTTAGTCTGTATTTCTGCCATGTGGGAGGAGCAAGGCCACCCAGAACAGCAGCACTCAGGTGGCTGAGTCTTGCACACACCCAAAACACCAAGAAGAGCAGGACTCCCTGTGGTACCACACACCCTGCAGGACCCTGACAATCTCTTATTTTGCATTTTCCAGGAAAATTACTGGACTCTAAACTAAGCCCTGTTCTTGCACAGAGACTAGAATGTTCCTTGTCCTCTTGCAACCCAGTTTATTCTGTACTGTCGTGACCTCAGTGGGAGCTTGTGGTTTCCAAGATACTAATCCTAGGTGTAACCCTAACCCTAACCTTAGGCAGGAAAAGAAGCCTTGGCTAAAGCTGCTTCCAGGGAAAAAGAAGTGAAGGCATCCATGTTGAGGAAGGTTTGTGCTCCCCTTGGGAAGCCTTTCACAGCTGCAGCATGCCTGGAGCTCTGGGCCCTCTGGTTTAAAAAACCCCAACCCTAGGTATAACATTAACCCTAAGCCTAGGCAGGTAAATCAGCCTAGGGTTAGGGATGGTCCCAAGGAAAAAGCTGTGGAGGCTGCCCTGCTTTGGCACTTTGGGGCTCCCCTTGGGATGCCTTTCACAGCTGCAATGGGCCTGGAGCTCGGGGCTCTCTGGTTTAAAAACCACAACCCTAGGTGTTACACTAACATGAATTTAAACCGTCAGCAGGTAAATGAGCCTAGGGTTTGGGATAGTCCCAAGGAAAAAGCTGAGGAGGCAGCCGTGTTATGGCACTTTTGCACTTCCCTTGGGATGCCTTTTGCAGCTGCAGGATGCCTAAAGCTTGGGGCTTCCAAGTTTAAAAAACCCCAACCCTAGTCGAAACACTAACCCTGACCCTAACCCTAGGCACGTAAATCAGCTGGGGTTAGGGATTGTCCCAAGGAAAAAGCTGTGGAGGCAGCCATGTTGGGGCAGTTTTGTGCTCCCCTTGGGATGCCTTTTGTAGATGCAGTGTGCCTGGAGCTCAGGGCTTCCTAGTATAAAAAACCCTAACCTTAGGCGTAACCCTAACCCAAACTTAAACCCTAGGCAGGTAAATCAGCATAGGGCAAGGGATGGTCCCAAGGAAAAAGCTGTGGAGGCAGCCATGTTGTGGCACTTTTGCGCTCCCCTTGGGATGCCTTTGGCAGCTTCACTGTGCCTGGAGCTCAGGACTTCCTAGTTTAAAAATCCCTAACCCTAACCATAACCCTGACCCTAACCCTAGGCAGGTAAATCAGCCTAGGTTTAGGGATGGTCCCAAGGAAAAAGCACTGGAGGCAGCTGTGTTGTGGAACTTTTGCGCTCCACTTGGGATGTGTTTTGAAGCTGCATTGTGCCTGGAGCTTGGGCTTCCTAGTTTAAAAACCCTAACCCTAGGCCTAACACTAACCCTAACCCTAACTGTATGCAGGTAAATCAGCCTAGGGTTAGGGCTGGTCCCAAGGAAAAAGCTGAGGAAGCAGCCATGCTGTGGCAGTTTTGCGCTCCCCTTGGGATGCCTTTTGCAGCTGCAGTGTGCCTGGAGCTCAGGGCTTTCCGCTTTAAAAACCCTAACTTTGCAAACCTAACCCTTACCCTAGCCTTAGGCATAACACTAATCCTAACCCTAACCCTAGGCAGGCAAATCAGCCTAGATTTAGGGATGGTTCCAAGGTGAAAGGTCTGGAGGCAGCCATGTTGTGGCACTTTTGTGCTCTCCTTGGGGTGCCTTTCGCAGCGGCAGTGTGCCTGGAGCTCAGGGCTTTGTGGCTTCGGAGACGCTAACCCTAGGTGCTACCCTAACCCAAACCCTAACCCTAACCCTAATCCTAAGCAGGAAAAGCAATCCTGGCCTAGGGCTATTCCAAAGGAAAAAGCTCTGGAGGCAGCCATGTTGTGGCACTTTTGTGCTCCCCTTGGGATGCCTTTTGCCGCTGCAGTGTGCGTGGAGCACACTCTTTGTGGTTTCTGAGATGGTCATTCCAAGCCTCACCCTGACCCTAACCCTAACCCTAGGCAGGAAAAGCAGCCCTGGCCTAGGGCTGCTTCCAAGGAAAAAGCTGTCGAGGCAGGCGCTGACTCCACAGAGCTGATGAGTTGGTTTTGCTTCATGGTGCACAGCAGTTCATACCTTCTGCTAACTTTGGAATTGTACCACTACTGTCTTCCATAGCTGTGGTCTGGTTTGTACTCACAAAACAGCCTTTACAGATTCATGGATTAAGTGGTACTACAGCACTGAACTAAAAATAAATGTTGATGAAAAAAGCGGACTTTTTTTCTCATCCTGGAAATGATCATGCTGGTTTGCATTTTTTTCATGTGATTTTCAAAGTTCTCATGGTCTGCTTTACAGTACTGGATTTTTTCTGAGATCATTCATCAGTCCATGAATTTTTTGGATAAAAAGACATCCATTTTTCTATTACCTTCAGTATTGTGGAACAGTAAAATAATTCTGTTAAAGTACTATAATATCTCTTGAGTTTAGTCGAAAATACTTAGCAAAAAATCTTCCCTTCTCCAATATTATTTATGGATATTTTATTTCTGTATTTCCAAATATAGTTATCTTGCACTAATGCATTTCAATGGCTGTCAGTTATGCAGTCCTGTTTTAACTCTGCAGATGTCCTCACTTTTGACTCGCCATTATTGGCAGATACAAAGTATTTATGTTGGATAAAAGTAAGTATGAATACCTTTATTGCCAAAAATCTAACGCCAATGGCATTTTTCAAATATTCCATGACTACTTTTCATTACTGTCAATTTTTTTTCCTGTGGAAAATCATGAGAATAATCCCACTTATCCACATTCAGTTCTGCAGCAGAAATGACAGAAGTGAGAAAGAATGTAAGGTGGAAAGCTTCCATCCCAACCAGTTTAAGCAAACCGAGGAAACATTTTCCTTGAAGATTTATTTTTCTGTGCATCAGTGAATATATACATTTCTTGAATAAAGAAAGAAAGCACTCTTGTGGTCAAGTGAAAAAGTAGCCCTTTACCCAAAAGCTCATTTACCACACTCAGATGTGATAATGTATTTATCACATCTGAGCATCAAAAAGATGCTGTATTCCCAGTGGAACTTTCAGTATTGTATCAGGGGATTATATACCTGGGCAGCTATTTAAAAAGTGGGAAAAAAAGACTGGCGGTGTCACCTGAAAATTCACCGTTCTTATTTAAATCACAGCATACAAGATAGGCTGGAAAAAACCCAAAAAACAACCCAAAACAGAAAGCCCAACAAAATCGATCTTTCAATCTTCTTGTCGCTCCGTCTGCAGCAAGCACGGAGGAAGTTTGTGCTGCCGGCGGCCCGTAGTTCCCCTGGCAACCGGCAGGAAGCGTCGGCGGCGCCGGGGGCTCGCGGGGACGGCGCTGGCCGGAGCCCCGAGCCCGGCGTGCCCGGAGCCTGGCGTGCCCGGAGCCCAGAGCCCGGCGTGCCCCGAGCCCAGAGCCCGGCGTGCCCCGAGCCCGGCGTGCCCGGAGCTTGCGTGCCCGGAGCCCAGAGCTCGGCGTGCCCCGAGCCCGGCGTGCCCTGCCAGCGGGAGCCGGGGCGGCCCAGGGGCCCAGCGCAGCGGGGCGGCCCCTCGGCTCCCTCGTGCTCCTGGATGTCCCCCGGCTCTGGGGAGGCCCGGGCCGGGGCCTCTGTGGGAGCTCGCCGGAGCTTCTCTGCCTGATCCTGTCGGCGGTGAAGGCGCTCGAAGCCCCTCATGTGTTTCTGCCTCTGCACTCCGGGAGAGTCGGCACTCGGCAGGGTAAGGGAGCAACCTCGCCTTTCAGATCCTGCTGACCTCCATCCTGTCTGCCTTAAGTGACTTCTAGATCCCGAACTCCAGGCTGCGCTTTTGCTCCTTTGAAAGATGTCTCTTAAAAGTGCTTCTCCCATTTCTATTTAAAGTGTCTCTCCTTGATCTGAAGTCTGTCATCTGCCAGTAGATGGGTCACTTCTGTACCAAACTCTCTTGTTTGATTCACGGCTGTGCTTCACCTGTCTGATCTCTCTACAAAACCCTTGCAGCTCCTCACTGCACGAGAGCTTTCATCTCTGAAGAGTGAGACCTCCTTGTGAAAAGTACTTTTTCTGGTCAGTGCTACCTAATGTACCTTAGCATGTATTTTCATTACTTGGAAAACAGAAAAAATTAAAAACATCTCAATTACTTCTAAATACTTGTCTGAGAAAAATATTTATATAGGTATTAGAAAGCTGACTGTATTATTTGTACATTTCAAAGTCTGATACAGATAACACTATTTTGTGCTACATGCTGCTACTGTCAAGAACTTATCTGGTGCTTCTATAGTATGAAACGATTTTGATTTTTAATTTTATGACAGTTCAAAATCCGTCTTCTTACACTAATGTGATTAGAATTTCATGATAATAAATGGACATACAAAATCAATTGATTTATTTCTATATTAATGTTTTCTATTTGACTTTCATTTTACAAACAGAATAGTTCCCAAAAGTGTCATGCAAGTTTCTATGAGTTCTGAAGACATTTAATTGACTAATTGTGGTGTATTATTTCTTTTGAAAAGACTTTCAGTGGAGACAGGCCACATTCTGGAAATGACAGGAAAGAGAAAACAAAATGTACAGTAGGTGAACTGATTTGAATCACTAGTTCTGATTAAATCATGAGTAAAGAAGTATTGATTTAAACTTTCAGTTTTAGTTTTGCTTGTATTTTAGCTGATTTGTTAATCATTATAATATGTTGTTTCACATAATTCAGTAAAACCTGGGCTCTTCATTGAATTCTTTCCACAAGTTATAAAGACAGCATATCTACAGATGTGCTGGGACCTTATCACTTACCAGAAACAGAAGCAATCCTAAAGCTTTCATAATGCAGATAATGACAAAGGTACCTGACTGGCAATCCTGCTCAGAGGGGAGAATTAGAATAGCCAAGCTAAACAAGGAGTGCACATGCAAGAATCTGGCAGAGATTAGGGCCGGTGGCTGATAGAGCTGAGGGTGAGAGAGTAGCATGGCAATTCTGTCTCTGATTCATCCTGGTCTCAGTATTTGGCACTTGATAATCTTTTTAACAAAATAGGTGTTACCAAGGGTGATAGCTGGACAGCAAGCACACTGCTCATCTCTGAGGCAATGTTTGTTTCCTTTTTTTTTCATCTCTATATGGTGCAATTGCTTTTTCACAATAGGAAATGTGCAGAATACATCACAGCAAAAATTACTGAACATTATATTATTTAAAACCCGGGTTTTCAGTATTATTAATTTTATTAATATTTGAAATCTTGTAATCTCACAGGAATTATTTATATTATTCACCATAATATCAGACTTGGTATGTTAAATAAGTAGAGAACTATTTTTTTATTGGGGACACTTCAACCCAATTACATACATTTGTAGTGATGTGTAGCTGGTGCATTGACTTACAGAAGATAAGTGTATTTAATATTAAATGATGTAGTCAAAGTTATTTTTGCCGTGTTTTTAAAAAAGTACTTTCATTCTTCTTAGTGGAATTGGAATTAATTTTTTGTGTTCTTTTTTTTTTTTTTTTTTTTTTTTTTTGCTGCCTTACATTTCTGTTCTCATCTCTTATTGATTGTGGTTTGGGTTTTGTGTCCTGAATGTACTTGCTTCATTCCTTCATCCTGGACCTTCCTCAAATTGTTGCTTTCTTCTGATGTAACTGTACCCTACCCTGTTTGACTCTGGGCTCTTCTGCTGAGGCCTGTACTGCTGCTCAAATTTTTGTAGGCTACCCTGAAAGCAGACTGCATCTGATTCACTTTTGCTTCAGGTCTCAAAGAACACAAGTAAAGAGGAGCAGGTTAGGAAATGTGTGCATTTGAAATATGGAGTGACAGGACTATTGCAATTGTCCCATGCACTGTGTCCAATATATAAGAATGAGCATCTGTTTCCTAGTGCACTTATTCAGATTTACTTGGTTGGTTGTTCATGTCAATCTTTGGGCCTGGGGATTCTAACCCTTCATATTCTGCCATATAGGAATGAAAATTATTTTATGTTTTTAATTTTTTTTTTTTTTTTGTAGGAAGAAATGTTCTAAGAATGTCATCAGGCATCCAAATAAAAACAAAGTCTTCAGCCCAGAAAAGCAAGACATGTTCTCCAGAATCACAGCCAAAACCTAGTGCAAAGCTGAATCCTAAAACTATTGATCCAGTATGTGTACGTGGTGGTGGTTTTGTTTGGTTAAAATCCATCTGTGGTTTGAGGAGTGCTCCTTACTTTATGAAATTGCTTGCAGGACATGCTTCCTATTTTTTAAACTGAAATTAAACTTTTGTTATTAATCATACATACCTTATCTTCTAAGCTCAAATGCCTGAAGGTATAACATTGTTTACTACATTACTATAAAAATGTATTTTGGTACAGTTGTGGCTTGAATGGTAACTGTTATTTTTTATTTACTATTGCCCTAAAAAAAGATTTAGAGCTAAGCATTAAAAAGGGTTATTTTTTTCTTACTGCTAAGCTTTAGCACCTGTTGCTTTAGAGAAACTTATTTCCGTTATGCAATGAAACCAAGAATCAGGTGTCATATTGAAGGTATTCAAGGCCTCATAAAATCTGGCAAATTAATTGCTGGTGAGCATTATTTGAAACTCACAGTTACTGTGACTATGTAATCCTTCAGGAAAAATTTCTGTTCTTGGGAGAGTAGTAATGAAAGGAGTTATTTCCTGGAAGTCCTGTGTCTGGAGATCTAACATTGAATGCATGAATTATAGTTCACCACTGGGCCATATAATTTGGCAATTAGTACTGTCACAGGCTTTTTGGAAAGTGAATGAAATGCAGAGGTACTTTACTGATAAGCAGAGGCTGAGTACTTTAATGTGGGCATCTTTTTTACTTGAAATCTCTTTGCAAGTAGCACAATGACCAAAATTAAGCCATGAACACAATTCTGCTAATCTTAATGTAGGTTTAAACACTCAGAAGATAACAATTGAGATTTCATGGTATTTCCTTCTGAATGCTTTCATAATATCTTTTGTATTATCTGGAAAGCAGAATTAAATGATCATGCTAATAAATAATATAATAGTTAATAGGCATAAGAAGCATGTATATTATAAAAACCAAATTTGTGCAGCTTTTCCTTGCTTGAAAGTCCTAGTTTCCTTCTCCAGTGTGTCTTTCCTAGATTCTCACCCAGTGTGAACCTCCCTGTGCATTTGCAGTGCCCTCCCACCATCTTACCCAATATTTGGGGTTTCTCCCACATCTTGCCATTGTATACCTTTGTCTGTACTCAGATCAAGATGGAATTGCAGTAAAACTGACTTCTGCATGTTACCAATATAACAACAAGAGCTTCAGGGAAGTGAGAGCTCCTTGCTCTGCTTAGGAAAGAACTTGTAAGACTTCAATATTACCATTTGCAAGAGAAAAAATAGAAAAATAAAGTGATTCCATCAGGAGACCACTGATTGTACATTTTTATTCATTTTAACAACTCCCCAGACTGATGAGTCTTAGAAGCAGCTTTCAGATGAGTGTATCACTTACATGTTTTCCACTTCATAGCTGCAGTTCTTTTTTTTTTTGATTTGTTTTGGAATCATATGATTAAGTTCACGTTTTGGTAAACTTCTGTTTTAACATATTCATAATAGCTATAAAACATTACTGTTTTAAATAAATAATGCTTTTTTTTCTGTCCTTACAGTTTCGTGCTTATTCTCAACCATCATCTGCATTTGCTGCTACCTATGCTAGAGGTGGTATTCCCTGCAGGTATGTTGGGTTTGTTTTTTATTTTTACTAAATATATTATGAAATACACCTCTTCATGTTTCATCTTTTAGTTAGGTTGTTTAGTTCCATTCAATTCTGGAAAAATTTCCAATACTTAACTCTTTTCGGGGCAGAAAGCAACTTCCCGTGCCTTTGAAATTGTCTTCTTTTGGTTCTTTTTTATGCTGTGTTAATATCAAAGCCACATTTTTAAAGAATAGTTTAGTATGTGCACATTTGGTTTCCTAAGTGTCTTTCACAAACTACATTTTCAGGTAATTGAATTTACTTATCCCTACTAACAAAGATGATAAAATTAGTGCCATTTCAATAAGTAGACCTTGCACAGCCTTCGTGGTACAACAACATGTTATTGAATTTCCTATTCTGTAGTTTTTAGGCATATGAAATATGAACAAAACTACTCACAAGCAAGTTTAGGGTATTTTAAGTTACTTAGTTATATATTTGCCTAGACAATCAACATTCTGGTATTTTGTCATATGGATGCAGAATTTACAAAAATATAAGCCATCATTAATAAGATGCATATGTATATAATTGTATAAAATAATAATTAATACATAGTATTAATACATTTATTTGTATCTTAGGAGCAAATAGTAAATTCCAATATGATTTTCCTTCAATTTCAACTGCTTTTCTGTACCCATTGCTATATGAGGAAAATGTTTCTTGGTATACTTATCAAAATAAGTAACTTTGGAAAAGGAGTATCTTCTGTGTTGGCATGAGAGACATCTATAATTTTTATAACTTCTGTTTTCTGATTTCTATGTGATTAGGAGCAGAATTTTGAAAACTGACATATTTTGGGAATTTAGTATAATTGCACTGTTCACCATTATACATACACACAGGTTGGAATCCATGATCCCAGGGATCTTTGCCAACTTAGTTGATTCTGTGATCCTATAATTTCACTAAGGAGAGCATTATGTATTGAGATTGTGTATGTAATGTAGGAATACAATAAACTAATTGGTGATACATTTATAGCAAATAGTGTTAGCAAGAAATTATATATAATATATGTTATTTTGTTAAAACTTTATTCTTTATATAGGTTAGTGCATGGATCAGTAAAGCACAAACTGCAGTGGGAATGCCCTCCTGAAACTGTTTCCTTTGATCCTCTTCTTTTAACATTGGCAGAGGTAAACCCAATTTCTTGCAACATTAGGCACACAACCATTTCCTATTTGCAAATGTCATTTTTTAACAATCTAAGTTAGCTAGTTAGGCTCAGCTTCTAGAGAAATATAAAAAAACCCCACTTGTGAGGATATTGTATGAATGAAAACGGTCAAGATCATTGCTATTTGTAGTTCTTTAGTTAGAGCTTTCTGGGAGAGCTAGGTAGAGCTCTTTAATTTTCAAGATACTGATCAAATGCAAGACCACATCTCAGATGCCCAACTGTTGAATGAAATTTGTGTTTTTACAGATGCTTTTGTAAACTAAATTGTTTTGCTTATTTTTTGTATATAACGCCTACCTTATGAAGTAAGAACGTTCTCCTCAATAGATTGAATTAGTACAGTGGAAATAGGATCCTGTAAATAAGTGGAAGAGAAGTACTATACACTATGTTGAGGCTTCTGTTTTCTCAGAACCATCTGTGACATTTATCACCAAATATGTTCCAGGTGTCTAAATAAATGCTGAATCCAATGCTGCAGGTAGAATAAAGTGCATATACTGAGGTGGCTTGCATTATTTTTTCTTTTTTCCTTTTTTTTCCTGTTTTTTCATTTTTGTTTTCTTTGTTTCTTTTTCCCTTTGTTTCTTCTTTTTTTTTTTTTCCTTTTTTTAAATACTAAACAAAACTGTCAATTCCTAAGGTAACATAAAACTTCTTTTATGTTAAGAAAAAATGCTTCAGACACATGGCTTTAAATCTTTGAGTTTTGCCAGTCAGACCTTCACTAGATGTGCATCTTTGTGCTATCTACAAGTTTTTAGTGTTGAACAGAGAGGTATGTGGTGTGGGGTGTCTTTCCTTCCATAGTTCACCTTCTGTTCTTTTTTCCTTTCAGGGTACAAAACCCCTATACAAATACAGACTGTTCTAGTTCATGGTCTCATTGGAAAAATACCTTGGGTTTTTAGATTGAAGGTAGTGAGGTACAAATATTGATTGAGTTGGCAGTATTCATAATGTGAGTTTTAATATTCAATATTGTAAAGGAAAAATGAATTAGAATATTCTGTGAGCAAAGCTGTACCCAGTGGCTCCACATGGTGGAGTTAGTGTACTTTATGTTTTGAACTGATCTGACAAAATCTAAACATGGTCTTGCTGCTGTGTGGAACTTTTAAAATGTGTTTTTGTTTAAAAGAAGGCTCAGTATTAAGAAAACCATGTTTTACATTTGCAACAGGGACTAAGAGAGACAAAACATCCCTATACTTTTGTTTCCAAGGAGGGTTTTAAACAATTACTTCTGGTTGAAGGTGCTGCTGAAAAAGTTATTCCCTTGCTGCCTCGTCTAGTTCCAGTCTTAAAGGCTGCATTGGTATGTCCTAGTCTTCTTGCAGAGATTTTAATGGGTTTGAATTTTTTTGTTTTCTGCTGCTGGTGGGAACTACATGAGTAATACTAATGTAATAAATCTATCACTTGGGCTTTTGGCTTGGGGGTAGGAATGATTTCTCTTCCTGTTGTTAACCCTGCCCTGGTTTATTAGCTAAACATGTCTGTAAATATAAATTAAGATGGGCAAATTCTTGTATAACTATATGACAGTATCTATGGGAAAGTTTTATGAAACTCTTCTCTTAAAGGTTTTAATATAAGCAAAAATAAATACATATATTTGTGGACATTTTTATATGTCCATGCAATAACACGCAAAAAATAAAAATGACATGAAGTAAAATGGATATGCAGGAATAAATGCTCATCTATTACATGTAACAATTCAAAACATGCTACAAAGGTAAAACAGAATCATAAATAAGAGACCCACAAGGATCATTGCATCCAACTCCCAGCCCTGCACAGCACCATCTCCAGAATATGTCAGTGAGGAAAAAGGAAGAATACATTTATAGTGTTCAAGGTCATATTCTTAATTTTAAAAAATGTTTTTAACTCTTCTACACCATCAGAAAATAAAGTGAGATCTTGGCTTTGAAGGTTACCTCTTTTGGATCTTTTTCATGTCTTTGAGAGCCCTTTTCTGGTTCAGTAAGTAGCTGTCCCTTAATCTAGCTGTGTTTCAGTTCTGATTTAACAGAGATGGCTTGAAGTTTGAAAATTAATTTTGATCTCAAATCAGAGATGTAACAGAAGTATGGAATTGTGTGTTATCTTTGGTTTAGCTTAAAGGCAAAAGCTTAGCTTATTAGACAAATAATTCTTGTCTCTTCCTCCAATTAATATTACTCTTCTGATAATTTTTATTGTTGCACTGTTTTGGTATTATGTCTTGTTAAATCTTCTACTAGACAAGCAGTCCATGATTTCTAGTTAAAAAGAAAATTTTCAGGGCCCAGATGCTGGAGAGGAAAAATAGTTGTTTCAATAAACTTATAATTTAGTATGAAACCAAAATAAGTTGTTATGAGTCTATTTCTCAGCTAAAGGAAAAGCAGCATAATTAAACCACCAGAGAAGTCAGGTACAGAAGAACCTTCCCATGGGAGAAATAAAGATGACAAAGAACTGTAGAAGTAGATAAGAGCCTGATAACTGCTGGCAGGTGTAGTTGGCAGGGGACTAAATTAATTGAGGCAGAAAGTCGTTGGCTCCTCTGTTTCTCCAGCAAAGAAAGTTATTGTTATGAATTACACAGAAATTACCCAGAATTCATTACATTTTTAACTAAAATGTTGTGTCTCAATTTCAACATATCAGCATTTGACAGGTTATTTCTAATGTGCTGTGGAATACTGAAATTATCAGTGTAGCAAGTTTTTCTGCATGCCACATTTTTTATTTCAACAATAGTTTTCTTGTCTCAGAAGAAATAGAAGAGTTTTGTGGAAATTTCAGGGATGTTTTTGTTTTCCACTTTAAAAATGTGCCTTGCCTTTAAATTTGCCCTCTAGAGACTAATATTCAGTCATATTGTACTTCTCTTTCTAACTTGTATCATTATAGCAATTAGCAATTGCACAGTAGTTTTAGTGTTTAAAACTACTCCATACAATCATAATGCAGAGATTGCAGTTTAGAAAAACTTACTTTGTCTGAATCTTACAGGATTTTCTTTCTTTCTTCCCCTTCTGAAGGCGCATGCAGATGATGAAGTATTTGGAAGGGGATTGGATGCTTTAGTGCAATTGAGTGCTGTTGTTGGCCCATCTCTTAATGATCATCTTAAGCTTCTACTCACAAATGTAAGTTTTTAATGCTGTAATAAAAAATCATTTGTATTTTCATGATATTCTTGTTTGAGATGTTACTATACTATCTGCACAGATACAGTGGAGGACTCAGCAGTTCCATGAAAAACATTATTTCATATAGTCCCCAGTGTGAGTCCTTTGTTCTTTTAGAATGTGGTGACTTACAAAGTTCTGGCAAGGTCAAAAACTCCTGTTAATGTAAACTGGAGAATAATGGAAGTCTTCTCTCTACAATTTATGAAAACATGCAGATGCTTTGTTTCAGAGGAAAATTTGTTGCAAAATGAGTTTTTAATTTTAAGTCTGAATATCTTAGCAAAACCATAAACGTTTTAATACATTAACAGAAGCAAATATTCCCATTCCTTTCAGATGGGAATTCTGCACAAGGAAGTTGTCATTAAATAAGCTTTGAGTTGGATTATGAGAAGTATTTTTATACCAACTTATTCTAGGGACATCCTTCCTCTGTCAGACAGCCTTTTCATGGTTTCTTTTAACCTGCTTGCAAAGTGCACTTTTACAGCAAAATAGAAAGACTTTTTTTGACAATCACTACAGAAGAGAAATTACAGCAGGTTTTTTTTGAAGTATTTCTGCTACAAGAAATCTCTTTCAATGCACATGATAATAAAAGTTAACTTTTCATGTGGACAATTCTTTAAGAATGACTTTTTTTTAGGTGGATATTTCTTTCAAATTTGTTTGGTAAAAGAAAAAAGTATTTTTGTGGGTTAACAGATCAGTTTTCTTTGAATTTAAGTTTCTCTTTAGTTAACTTTTTTATTCCGTTTGCTTTTATTGAGTTCCATACTTTGACATCAGTTACAAGTTATAAAATAATGTTTCTTTGTGGCTTTAATTTTGCAAAGGTAAGATGGAATAAAGTAACAAAATAGGTTATTATTGCCTCTTTGCATACATTTTACTATATTGTGCAACAAACCTTTTTGTTTTACTTTTCCAATAGCTTTTAAAGAGATTAATGGACAAGAAATATAGAGAAGAAGTTACTACTGCTTTACAAAAGTTGGAGCACTGTGGTGGAAAGGTGCGTTGATTGGATGTTTATTTAGTAATCTACACTTTTTAATACAATTTTGTCAGAACAGCTTTCATCTCTGGTTTTGTTGCCATGTTCTTGCTTCAGTATGGCTGGGATACATGCTTGGTGTTCCATATTCTGGGACTAAATATGTTTCTCAACAAGATTTACTCCTGCACAAAGTTACTTTTTGCTGGTATTGATGATGCCTGCCTGTTCCCACTAATAGTTTATTGTTTATGCTATTTCCTGAGGGAATGTGACACTCACATTCCAGCCCACCCTGGTTAACCCAGAGTTTGGATCTGCAATGGCTATAAATCAAAAAGATGCTTTAAGTAATAGATGGTAGTAGAGGTTTCTCTTCTGTTGAACATTTTTTTGACAAATTTTGTGCTGTACATTGTGCACAAAGGAGAAAAGGAGAAAAAATGAGGAGTACTGACTTAGATGCTCATCTAGAAGAGAAAATATTTGCTTTCTTGACCCTATGAACAGTTGTATGTGTTATATTAAATGGTTATTTGTAAAGAATAGGAATAACCTGAGGAGCAGGGACCATACAGGCAGGCCCAGCAGTACTGAGCTTGTGTGCCTTAGCCAGTAGGTGCCCAAATAATCAGTAGTTGCCTCTTCATTTTTGTGTGTGCACATGTTCATTTAAGAGCAGTAGCAGTGTTTGCTTACAGACTTGAAAAACATCACAAAAAATGAAGGAAGATGAGAGTTCTTTATTTGTATGAAGTGAGACAAGAAAAGGAAAATTACAGCTCGTTTTAATGTTCTGAAAATTTAGGTCCAGATAATATAATTAATCCAGTGAGTCATTAACCTCTAATTCTTCTATCAGTCCCCTGATTTCTTGTAGTCTTACCTGTTGGTGAGTAGGTCTTTCTGTATATCTTTTAAAAAGACTGTAATAAGATAAAGCAAAAAAACCTGGAAACAAACTACTAAGTTGTGGTTACAAGCAATATTATATAATCCAAGCAATTAATTTATCAAATTTATTTTCTAAATTAGTTATAAAGCATATGATTCTTACTTTTGTTGGAAAGCCCCTGCAGAACATCATTCCTCTACATAAAAATCCTTATTATTTCTTGTATATATTTGTGCCCCCTTTTAGGTGTGAGTTTTCACGTCCCTTATTTTGGATGTTTACTCCCCAGCATTAGTTATCACAATGGTGCATTTTCTCAGTTCATTATTTTCAGCCCTTTTCACAGTAAATTTCTCAGCAAATATTAACTTTTTAGCTTTCTACTGTTTGATAATAGCAAAGATAACTAAGTAAAAGTTGTGAACTATGCAATTTATAGAGGCTATATGAGTACTGTCATATGTAGTGCTAGTGCCCCTTATTTTGTTTAAATTTGTTTTGTTTTCTTCAACAGGCAACTGTGGCGATCATCAAATCTAAAATTCCAACCTATTGTTCGATCTACTCTTGAACAAGGAAACTGTAGTGATTTATACTGTAAGGTGAAGTTTGGAAAGAAACTGTGTGTAAATATCACTGACACTTATTTGGGGTATTATATATTCTCTTAAAATAATAGTTATTCCTCAGTATGATGGAGAGCAGGAGTCTTATCAGTTTGTGAATATGTAATTATGGAAGAGTTTTCTTTGTATATTTGTATATACATTTGGCTTACAATGACACTGATTAATGTGCTATTTCAAGAGCAGAATAAATATTGATTCTTATTTAGTTTTTAATTACAATTTCATGTATTATATCTATAGTGCTTTATATGTTTTGTATATTTGTGTGATGCAAAATAATTTTGTTGTAATTACTTAAATAAAATCTAACTTGGTGCTAAATCACGTATGTATAGCTTCTTTTGAAATACATAACTTCTTTTGTGACACAGCACAGATGGACACATTAAGGTTTATGGGGACTAGGTTAGACATAGAACTGTGAGCCCTCTCAGACTTCTTCAGAGTCAGCTTTTAAAGGTGTGAAGCTGAACCTAGTAAACAGGCAGCATGTGGTCCCAAGCTGAACTTGCTCAGTGCATTCTCAGCATGTTGTTTTGAGAGCCTGGAGAGGCTCTGGAGAATACAGTGTTGAGGCATCAGGTTGCTCCACAGAGCCACAGCTGAGGTTTTGCTCAGCTAATTAATTCCTGTTAACTTTGAGCCTACTGAATGGGAGCTGGGTGGAGGAGGCAACTTTGAAATACTTACACTGTGCTCCCTTTGTATTGAGCTCAGTAACGTTACAGATATGCTTGGGATTTGCTTGTGAATTCAGGTCCAGACAAGTTAATAAACTTCTGAACATGGAAGCTATGAAAAATGTAAGTTAAAGACAAAAAGAAGATTGTACAAGACAGCTTACCTGGCTGTCAAGCTTTGGAGGGTACAGCATTTGTCCATTAATGTATTTGAATTTGAATGCAAAATAATTCCTAATTGGTTCTTGTAATAAATGCTGTTCAGGGACATGTTGTATTTGTGTACAGTGTCGGGGAGAGTTAACAAAAGTAACAAAATTTGACCGAAGGTTTTCCCCTGAGGAATATTCAATTCTGACATTTAAAGTTGTTGGAAAGGATGTTTTTTTCATAAGAAGATGCCGATGCATAGAGTATTACTAAAAGTCTGTCATGTGAAAGCATTTCAGAAGTTTTTTTTAAATTACCACAACCTGACTAAAATTCACTTCAGGACCGATCTCTGCCAAGATCAGAATTGTGCTAAGTCAAGATAAACGAATTTATGTTTTAAAAAAGAAAAGTATTTCTTCAATAAGCATTTTTGCCAGCAGGTATTTAACAACTCAAAAAATTGATCATGGTCCTTTTTTTCTTAATGTTTACTTTATTTTTTAATTTTTTTTTACAAAATGTGCACATTTAGTTTACACAAACACGCTACAGCAGATTTCAGGTGTACATGTATTGTACTACTCTTATCCTACACTGGTGATAGCAGAGCAGCCTTCAACATGCCTCTAACATCCCATCTCTACACCAGAATAGATACCTGATTTATTTTTACAAAATAATTCTTGTAACTTTCTTTCTACTTCATTAATCCCCTTTCAGACTTTCTGCAGCAATGTCACAATGAAGGTTGGCCTATCTTTGATAGCATTTCACCTATTTTGAAGTATTGGCGAAGACTCTGTGGACAATATATTTTAAAAATTACATGGATGGAGGGGAAATGTTATATTTTATATGCATACTTTCTTAGAAGACTCTTTCTAGGTTCAGAATTAGGTAGCTCCAATCTTAATGAAGAAATGATCTTAAAAAATGTAAAGCGTTTATCACATATAGATGATATATAGCTGAAGTTTTAATTGTTTTCCTGGTTCTGTCTCATAGTTAAAGGTATTACAAAAAGATGAAATAGATGTTAGCCTCTAGCAGTCATTATTAGTGGAGGTTACTATGTAGTGATGTTCATTCTCAGCACTAAAGTGAGATGGCAGTTTTCAAAATTTCATGCCTTTTTCTTCGTTAAAGGCAGAAAGACACATACTTAGGAGAGCAGTGTTAGGATCCAGTTAAGGTTTCTTCATGAAAAATTGGAAGTCAGAAGATCCTTAATTTTAAGCAAAGAACTTCTCATACACATCCAAGAAGAATTAAAAATACACTATGTAGGAATTCTGATACTCATGTCATGATAAATTAAGTGCAGACTTATTAGGTGAGACTGAGAGAAGCTTATTCATAGTTTTTAGGGAATAAGAATACCCATAAGCAACTTGCTTGTTTGTTTGTTTGTTTGTTTTGTTTTATAACAGTTCTTGCTCTCAAGTTACCTGTTTAGTTGTGTTTGGGTTTTGGGGTTTTTTTTCTGAAGAGAAAAACAAGTCAAAGTTGGGATGCAATTATAGCAAGATGTGCATTGCACATTTATTATAGCATTTTAACTCAAAATATTATTCAAAAATAAGGACTACACTATAGAAATATGAGAAGAAAATAAATTGTAATGCCTCTGTATAAATTAGAAGCTAGAGATTTAAGAAGTACATTTTAACACCTGGAGCTTAGTCCAGTACAAATGAGTAGCAAAACTAGCAAAACTAATCTCTGTGCGATTGTATCTATTTTATCTAGGGGTTGGAATGATAATAAAGGTGCATAATGTCAATTGTATTTTGTTTGATTTTGTAGTAAGAACCTGATTTTTCAATAGAGTCCTATTAACTAAATAGCCACTGTGGAAGTGCTAGATTGTATAATTTAGAAAGGGTTTTTTGTTGGGAAGGGTTTATAATAAAAAATTTACTTGCATAATACATTTCTCAGTGTAAAGCTGAGTAACTTTATTTATGATAAAGTGGGAAATCCATTTTTTTAGATAATGTTGCAGAATAGTTCATATTTGTCCATTAGTTGTAGACCTAATGTCTTCATTAAATCACATTTTCAAAGAGCTGCATGGATCGCATTATATTCTCATCCTGTAAAAAAAGACAACACATAACCAAAAATCACACACCATCACAAATGTAGTAGGTGGATATCTATACTGAAATGTAGTAGAACATTTTAGTTAATTGCAACATTCTTTTCAGCTTGTTTGGAGAAATGATTAGCAGAAAAAGGCTGTTAATGGGTCCATGCTTAAATAAGTTTTTCTGTGTATTAATGAAACTAAAACTACTCTGTCAAGAATACAATAGCATATTAAGAAAATTAGATCTGTAACATTTCTGAGGTTATCCGTTTATATCCAGGATAACAGAATACACCTAGACAATAAATACTGATGGAATAGTTGTATCAAGTGTGAATCTGTACATGTAATTGTTAGTCCTGTGCAAAGTACACAGGATTCTTCTTGTAATCCTAAGGCTTCTGCTTCATAGTTAGAGATGACTAAGGAAAACAGACTGAAGTGTGCACCACTGCTGAGCCAAAATCAGTCAGTTTGACAAGTATCACCACAGCACTCTTCAGCTCCCCAATTCAGATTTTTTGTGTGTTCACACTGAAGGATGGTGACTGCCTCTAAATGCTACTCCTGCTTTCTGATTGTCTTGCATGAGGCAATTTTTAAACAAAATATTAATCTTTCCAGTTCTATATCATACCAGTGCATCACTCTGTGCTCCAGATTTTATCAGTAGATAACTTTCAGCACAGCAATTAGCAAAAAATATTTTCCTTTGTAAGCTTTACCTTTCAGTGTATAGAAGAAAGAGTTACTTGCAGTTGCCCATATTTGGTGGCATTTCTGGATCAACACTTGCTAGCACAAAACAATATATATACACACAATATAAGAGTTTATTACATGCTCATTTAGCATTTGCTGGTCTCACTGTAATGATCCCTCTCTTTAGTAATTTCTTCAGAGATGATATAGCCATCTTTAATTTTAAGGAATAAAAAGACTGAATTATAGATTATTTTTGGATGTTTCATGAAAAATGTGCATCAAAACCCCACTTCTTAGAAAGGTTATCTCAATAGTATTCTCCACTACTGATAAGTATGTGAGATTTCTGTACATTAATTTTCCAGTAAGACGTGTTCAGTATCAATTCCCACTTAAATTAGTCACTGTTCAGTCTAGTGGGTGATTTGCTTTGTAAAAAATGACAAATCTGAATAATTAGCTTAATTTATGTTATAAAACATGCACAGTGGGGTTTTTTATCTTTGATTCTGTATGTCATCTGAAGTAGTGCTGCTGTAAGGAATGAACTGTGTGCTATTTTGTAAAATAAAATAACTTACAGAAGCAATGATATGTCATTTCAAAAATACACTATATAGGCTAATGCTTGAAAATTTTGTATAGCAAAGCTACTATATTAAATTACTGAAAGTTAAAATAAATTATTCTTTTCCTCACTGCCTTGCTTTGATACATCAATAAACTAGTGAATGTCACTGATGTAAGGTTAACAGTTTAACTTAAGTCACTTGTCATATAATTAGTACAAATGTTTTGTATATACATTAGCAACTAAGCTCAGTAAATGTGCAAGCAAACATGCTCTGAATCTGCAAATTGTTTTGACACTTCTACCAATTTTACTACATATGTATAATCATGAATGAAACTGGTAGTTTTCTAAAATCAACTCCATATTTCGGAGTCTGGCTGTTTGTTTACAGAAGTCTTCCAATGCCACTCCCTTAGTCAGTCAAATTAGAAGAGTCTTCACAAGAAAATACAGGCTTGTCATAATATTTAGAACATGATAAGTTTTAGTAGCTTTTTTTGCCATCTTTAAAAAAAATACCGAAAAAACAGAAAAACCCCAGATGCTTGCATTGGAACTCTTTGGCAAGTGTATCTTTTTCATTTGCCTCTTTTTTCAGTACATTTTCTACACAAATTTTCATATTAGACTTGTTAAACAGCTCCTAATTCAAGACAAAGGGAGGTGTTAGTGCATATGAAGCATTGTCCATATGAAGCACAAACCTGGATGAATGAACTTTGGCCGATCTGACCTACCTTTATACCAGTTTTTCATAGGTTTGAAATAGTTTCTTTGCTGTTTTCAGGATAGCCCAAACCATCAACACTGTGTATGGAAAGGGTTACTTCTGCAGAAAACACCTGTGCCTGAAGCCTTTTTGTCATTATCAGAAGGACCATGTCACTGGCCCTGAAAGTCACCCATGCACTGTGCATGCCTTAGTCCCTTGACTGTTCTTTGTGGTTCTGCTGTGGATACGAGGCAATGCCCAAGTCAAACCATTTCCCATCAGCACCAACCAGTGAAAGGAGACAGGTAAGGAACTGAGAAGTGCCTAGTTCTTGAGGTACGCCCACTCCTGTTTCTCAAGACCTAGATTTGCTCTTTGGTAATTTATATGATGCCAGACAAACAGCCACCACTTTCTGGGACTCAGTCTGGCATATCTAGGGCAGCATAGTCCATTTCTCCTGTGGGAACAGAGAGGCTGCTGGAGTCTGGATGGCAGACTGACATTCAAATGCATGTTTGGGGTAGGGAGGGCAGGGAAATGAGGTCATACACATTCCCTGTCTAAGATGGAGGGAGGATGAGGGGAAGCACCATTCTACTCAAATCCTTCTACCCAGTATCCAGAGAAGACAGCACTCAAAGCCTGAATGCTTTATAATTCCCTACATAACTGTTTCAACACTTTTTGAATGGACTGGCCATTCTTTGCAATGGGACTGTGAATTAAGAGCCTTGAACCACCTGTGTGCCTCAGGCTGTACAGTGCCACTGCACTGATAGTTGTGCCAAACAAGTGCTCAGCACAACAGCACAAATTTTAAGAAAGGCACATATATGCAAAATTAGTGTTTAAGAACACACTGGAGTCTCTTGATGCTACAAAAAAAAATCTCAGGAACATAGCCCAGGAACCTGAAGTAGAACCTCTGTTCAAAGATGTTTTGCTGTGTTTCTTCTTGCTTGTAAAGTAAGCATGCTACATTTCCTTTACTTATTGCAAAACAGGAATAAAAGGGATATACTTCTGCAACTCACTAAGTTGGCTTCTAACTCAAAGTAGAGGAACGCCAGTTTTCAGAGACTGGCAAATCTTGACTGAGATAACCTTCAAAGAAGAGGCTCCTGCAGCCTTTCCCTGGCAGAACACACTTCAGGTCTATTTAAAGATACAGACATTACCTTTTTAGATCTCATACCTATCAGAATGTTAACAAAAGGTTTTCCTGCAGGTCTGTTTTAAAAGCAGCAGTCACGTTCCTTTGTAAAATATGTAATCCTGAAAAGAGTGAAGCCACATGAACTCCTGAACTGAGTTTCTTGAAGGACTTTGATTGAAACCAGTCACTAGTGGGGTTCTGCAGGGCTTATCCTCAACCAATTCTCTTCATTAATGACCTAGATGAAGGACTCAAAGGAATACTAAGTAAATTTATGGACATCACTAAACTAGGAAGAACTCTCAATTCACTCAAGGTCAGGGAGGCCCTGCAGAGAGACCTGGACCAAACAGAGATGGTGAATGACACCGTTTAGATTTTGCCTTTTTTCTATGTTCTCTGCATTCTTCACACATATATTTTGTAGCTCTGTAGCCCTTGTATTAGTGACTCGTTTTCCCAGTTCTTTTCCATGGCCTTTCCCTAAACCAGAAAGACAAAACAAATTCCAGAACTCCAAGCCCCAGGAAGTACAAGGCCCCTATCCTATTTTGGTTCTCCTCGAGAGCCAAGACTGAGAACAACTCTGCAGGTCCCATTCTCATGGACAAAGTACAGCCAGTGCTGAAGGGGGGCTCCAGAGAATGGGCTTGACCTGGGGGGGAATTGCATCACCACTTGTCCTCCTAATTGGTGACTTTTTATCAATTATGCTAATTTCCTAAAACCTATAAAAACTTACTCACCCCTGGGGGGAAATTGGGCTTTGTGGACATCTTTCCATAACTGCTCCTGAAGGCCTTAAAATAAAGATCCCCTTTTATATCACCTCCTTATTAAAATTATCTTGAATTTCATTTCCAGGTTGGGCAAAAGGTAGCATAATCACCAACCATATGAAGTTTAACAAGGACCAGTCCTGGCATCTGCACTTGGGATGGAGCAATCCTGCTTGTGTGTATAGACTGGGGAACATGAAGCTGGAGATCTGCACTGTGGAAAGGGACCTGGGCATCCTGCTCAATGGAAAGTTGAACATGAGCCAGCAGTGCCCTGGCAGCCAGGAGGGCCAGCCCTGTCCTGGGGGGGCATCAGGCACAGCATGGCCAGCTGGGCAAGGGAGGGGATTGTCCTGCTCTGCTCTGAGCTGGGGCAGCCTCGCCTTGAAAATTGCAGTTTTGGGTACCCTGATGTAAGAAAGACATAAAGCTATTAGAGAACATCCAAAGGAGCCAATGAGGATGGTGAAGGCTCTGGAGGAGAAGACCTGTGAGGAGCAGCTGAGGTCACTTGGTCTGTTTGGCCTGGAGGAGACTGAGGAGAGTCCTCATTGCAGTTACAACTTCCGCGTGAGGGGAAGAGGAGCAGCAGACATTGATCTGTGGTGGCCTCTGTGGTGGCCACTGATGGCACCTGAGGGAACCCCTGAAGTCGTATCAGGGAAGTTTAGGTTGGATATTAGGAAAAGGTTCTTCACCCAGAGGGTGGTTGGGCACTGGAACAGGCTCCCCAGGGCAGTGGTCACAGCACCAAGCCTGACAGAGTTCAAGAAGCATTTGGACACTGCTCTCAGGCACATGGTATGATTCTTGGGATATCCTACACAGGGTCAGGAATTGGACTTTATTCTGATGGGTCTCTTCCAATTCAGTATGCTCTATGATTCTATGAATCCCAACCCCAAACCTCATTTCTAAAACCAAATCTTGATATAAACATGAATTACACATTTTGAAGCACAGAAGTCTTAAAAGAAGAACAGTCTTAAGTGGCAGAGAGACAAAAATTTAGGTAGCAAGATACTTTTTGTGTCAAAAAAACCCATAGCCATCATTGAAGTTAAAAGCAAGGGAAGGTGAGATAAGTAGCATGATGACAATTGTAGCATTCTGTAGCATTCGTTGCATCTCCATCATGTCCCAGTTTAGAGAGCATCTCTCTCACGTGTATTCTGAATAGTTAGAACAGGTAAATAAATCTTCTAACACACTTGAGAAACTGAATTGCACTGGATAAGGAGAGCAGGCAATTCCTTACTAAAGGTATTAATTTTCTTTTTAAATGAATCATTCAGCCCATCACCATGATTGCTGTCATATGCAGATTAATGTGTCATTTAACTTCCAGAATGCTACAGACCTCAGCTGGGAAATGAATCTCATCTCAGTTTCTGATGATCACACAGGGTTAGCAGAGGAAATGACTTTTGTTGGTATTGAACAAGACTGACAAGCTGGAACCACGGTCAGTGCAACAGAGCACTGCTGACAGATGAGACACTGCCCAGTGCCTGTTGCTAAGGATACACAGAACAGCCACAGTTAGCAGAGCTCTTGGCTGTCTTTTATTCCCCAAAATCAGTGGATTAAAATCAAACAAAGTATCACTTACTAGGTAGCTGCACTCGAAAAAGCAACTCCAATGAATAGCTACAGATGCATATAAAAATAGTCTGCTTCTAGAGCATCTTTGAGCATCTAGAGATTTCCCTATTCCAAATAGTTAAAAACCGAAAAAATGCATTAAATGCATTTATCTTGATAGTCTTGTTATTATCTGTCTCTTTATTACTCTGTTCTCGATATAAGAGACAAGAATCAATAAGCAGGGGTTATATTGCTGGTCTCTGTCAGCTTTGTATTAATCAGTCTGCTGGGCAAGGTATCAGTAGACCATTACTATGACTTCTTAAATTTGTCACTGTAACAAACAGTATCAGGCTTATTGACCACATGAATTTACATAATGTAATCAGGCCTATCATATTCACTCTGTCTAATGTGATGCTTTACTATACACAACAGCCTTGATCTTGGGGTGTCCTGTGTAGAGCCAGGAATTTCATCTATTGGACTCGATTGTCCTGGTGGGTGCCTTCCAACTGAGCATATTCTATAATTCTATGAACCTCTTATCTTGCCAAAAGCTAGTCATTCTTATCTTATACTCTATCATGTTTCTTTTTCTTGCAATTTTAAACTGAAAAATTAACAGGATTTCCTTAAATTTATGAAAATGCAACTTATCTTTCTTCATATCATCTACTGGTCGGAGAACAAGCTGGTTTCTGAAGAGCAGAGGAGAGAAAACAGTCTGTAACTCCTGCTTCAGAAGTTCTCCATCCTGGCTCTAGGGGCCAGGAGCTGCTGGAAGAATTTTTTTCTTGCTGTCAAGAAATTGACAGCCACTTGGGTAGCATAAAGACTTGTGACTGATAATCATAATCAGTTTACACCCTTGCCTTGAGAAAACTTGTCTGGTGTTAACTCTTGCCATCCAACACTTTGCAAGCCCCTTGCACGCTCTTTTTATAAGGCTTTACTGCTTATAAGCACATCATAACTCACTGAGAAACTCAGCCATGGAGGATAAATTTTCAGGCAATATTATTATTGCCATTATTTTATGCCAGTTGTGACAGAACTGTGTGCCCCAGCATGAGCAGAAGATAGAAATAAATATTTAGCTGAATGTAAAGAAGCTTTTTTCCACCAAGTGTAAACAATACACTATTAAAGAGAGAAAGGATATTGGCACAGTTGTCTAATAAGCAATGACAGCTTGTGTACAGCAGCTCTTCTGCAGATTCAGGCCACAAATTTATTTACACTGTCCAGTGTTTCTGTGTAATGGTGTACATAGATACTCTACCTTGGGAAAATGCTGTCTCTGGTATAAAGATCACCCTCACTGACACTCCAGAAATCTGTAAAGAGCTGTGATAGAAATAGCCAACAGATACACATTCAGTACTTAACACTGAATACTTACTTTCTGGCAGCTCTCAATGAATTCATCTATGGTAACTACTCCATCTTTGTTCTTGTCCATTTTCTGTATTAAAAAAAGAAAAAGAAAAAAAAGTACAGGAATTGGGTTTGTGTGGCCAAGTTTTGGTAGCAGGAGAGCTACAGAAGTGAGAAGCTGCCAGAAACTTCCCCCATGTGCAGCGGAGCCAAAGCCAGCCAGCTCCAGGACCCGCTGCTGGCCAAGGCTGAGCAATGAGGAATGATAACCTCTTCAGCCCTTTGTTAGATTTTCTCTCCCCTGTTCATTTGAGGCAGGGAGTGAGAGAGAGGCTTTGGTGGGTGCCTGGCATCCAGACAGGGTCAACCCTCAGCAGTATGTTTCTCCTCCTGAATTCCTGTGTGAAACAAGTAATTTTCATTGTTCATTTCAATTAGATGACAGCCTAGCAACAACCAGTCCAAAAGTCATAGTAAGTGGACTATGCTTAAAGAGCTTTTGTTGAAAAACCGGGGTGTGATGAGTAGGTCTGGGAAACTTGGAATGGAGCCGCAGAGAATAGAAAGGATTACAGAATTGGAAGGATATGTTACAACAATGAAAATCTTTATCTGCTCACTCAGCAGTCTTTTCAGCTTCTGTGTTATGTGACCTACCTGGAAAAATGTTTCCACATGTTGTCTGGGTGCATCTTCTTTGAGAACAGGATAGGTGCATTTCCCCATCATGTCGTATATTGCTTTCATGATGTCAAGCATTTCCTGAAGAGGAAAAAATTATGTTTCTGCAATGTAAAGTGCATTTTTCCCACCAACTCAGGAAAACTTGCACCATTTGGTGAATCCTCAGATGAGCATCCCAGGGTGGGGGGTGCAAGGACCTCCCTACAGTGTGGGCACCCATCACGCCAAGGGGCTCCTGCACTGCCCCTTCCATGGCCTCTTTTCCAGATCACCTTCCAGTTCTTGGACGCAGCAGTGCTGCTCTTTGACTTCTAGAATGTCCACTGCTTTAACTCAGAACATAAGTTTTTAGGATTTGCATTTTAGAATAAAATTTTGGAATTCACCTAGGGTTTTTTTTTTTTTTTTGACTGAACTGATTCAAGAAGGAACTATTTAATTATTAGAAAATCTAGCATTTCAGCTTTCATAGATGTATGATTTCAATTTCAAATGATTTATAATATGTGAAAGTTCATGGATTGTGGGAAGAATCTCCCAATATCTTATGAATAAAAATAAAAAAGAAGTTCTGTAATGGCAAGTGAATGGCCAAAGCACATCACCTTCTTACAACCTATTTTCCCTAAAGAAAATAAAAACAGCCATGAACACATCTGCACTTATGCAGTCCTCCTTTTATATCGTAATCTTTGAATTTTGAGTGGCTTGTGAAAATTCTAATAATTTCAAAAACAAGTCATCTGTAGTATGCTAAGAAATTATTCTATACGTTACTCTTTTATAATGAACCTGAAGTGCTTTATAAAAGTGTAAAATTATAAGTGTAATTTTTATATTTGCATAAACCCCACTTAGAAAAACCCTCTCCATATATTTTGATGAAACACTCATTTAGTCCCACTTAAGTATTGTTTGAATCCTTGCAGAGTAAAAGATGTAGGAATCTTTCTTTATAAATCCTGTTTCAATTAAAAATTATTAGAAGTAGATTAACAAAATAAGAAACAATTATTGCCAACATACTTAATTTATTTTGTCCAAATATCCTACAATCTATCCTAGGAACTGTATGGGCAAATATGTAGGCATAAGTTGAAGCCAACTATTTCTGTACCTATTATGCTCAGAAACATAATTGCTGAAGAATTCTGAACTTTTGCAATTTCTATAAAGATTTTCCCTTTTCAATGTTCATCTATGCCTTTAAAATGAGACAATTACGTTTTTAGTGTGTCTAACTTCATAATACCTGATAACTTGTTAACACATTCAGTTTGACAACTGAACCATCCTTCTCTGAATGCAGGACTTAGCTAACAACACTTACTTTCAGTGATTACATAAGAACTAGATCTTACCTCTTTAGTTATATATCCATCCTTATTTATATCATACAAGTTGAAAGCCCAGTTCAGTTTCTCCTGTACTGTCCCTCGGAGTAAAACTGAGAGACCCATAACAAAATCCTAAATAGACAAAAGGTCTTGGTCAGTTTGGAAATGAGCAGTTTTCCTCAAAAACTCAGAAATCCAGAATAATAAAAAAAGATGTATTGTTCCAAATTTCTTTACTTCACTGTGAGTGCTAATGATTTCTGGATTAACAATCTAGGCACTATTTCCTACACTCATATTAATAAGTAAATTGAGTAATTTTCTATAAAGTAAATATAATTTTCTGTTAGTGGTTGTAGCCTCTGAAAAGACTATGTCTCACATAAGCAGTTCCCGTTGAAGTGAATACCAGGAAAAATCCATCCCCATGGTTCAATGGTCCAAGAAAAGCTTAAATGGTAGCTAAGCACAGGAGACCAATTTGGGGAAAACTGTGTACTAAGGAACATTAAATTCTTGTTAAATCTCTACCTTGTTAAAGTGGAATATGTAGTTCCCAGATCCCTTAGACCAATCTGTTGCATCCAATCTTTCAAACTTCATGTACAACACTGCACACCTCAATTCTTACTACTTTTATTGGAAGTATGATAGGGAATAATAAATATATTACATGTCCATGTGCCATTTTAATGTTTTTGTGATGTAATGCTCTATTGCTGCAGAGCTATTCCACAGAAAGCAATCAGAAGGCATTTGAGATTATTTGTATGTAGTATATGTAGTATTTGGTTATAGATTTTTATTTCATATTAAATACTCTTTTGACAGCACAAACCTCATTTACATTTATTGAGCATTGTCCACATTGGAGAAAATATCCACTTCCATCACCTCTCATCTGTATTTCTCAGCATGTTAATATTTTGTAAGCAATAGCTTTTTTTTTTTTCCCTAACCATTTCCTCCACCTCTTTTTATTTGATAAGTGTATAAACCCATAAATTTGTGAAACTGCCTTCTTAATACATTGAGCAGAATATGGCAAGTGGGTACATTTAAATGTGTCTTTCTACATTGCTTGCAATGACATACAGGAAGTGTTAGAGTAACATTAGAGACAATTAAAGCCAAAATATTTCTTATTTGCACCAGCAAGGTTTTGCATTTTGTCTAACACAGGAACAATGGAACACTGAGGTTAGACATAAATTTAAAAGGCCTGGTGTACCACAAAGTCAAATAAGTATACCTGATACACTGAAGTACACACAGATATCATGGACTCAGGGGGTCTAGCAGGCACAGACAACTCTTCTGACAGCTCCAGACTTTTTAACAATTCAATTGACATGCTCTGGCTGTTCTTAGTCTGTCAAAAATTTCTGTCTTATTGGTATATGTGCCCTTTGGGGTAAATGGGTACATGAATCTTGAAAGAATTTTGCTCATCTTGTCTACATACCAATGACTAATTGAGGGTCACAGGGTTAAATCTCCAAACAGTTCTTTAACAATGTACTATTAAACATTAAATTGTTCAAGAAATTCAGAACAGATTTGATCACATTACAGCATTAGCAATTAACCTTTTAAATTCAGTACCATGTCTTCAAGTCTTTTCTGCATGGTTTTACATTCTTGATGTAGCTTCTCCTTAAGTCCTTTGTGAAGGTCCTCAGTTGCATTATTTTCTTACATTATATGTAAGAATTGTGAATTTATTTTTATTTTGGCTGAGCAACATTTTTAAAATTTATCTAAAATAAATCCATTTTTCTTTTCTTGTTCAATTCTCTTTGTAGCTTTCTGTGATGTACCACCTGTGTTAGCTGGCTTCCCAGAATCATTTCTACCCCCATTTCCAAGGCTACCCTTCTATCATTGTTTTTTTTAAAAAAAAACTTGACTTAATATTGTTTTCCATGGGATTTGGGGTTGTTAAAAAGCAGAGACGACTCAAAAACCTTCCAGGTATGTGCTCTAAACATTGCAGCAGTGAGTTATCTCCTTCCATATTGCATCAACATGTTTTGGGATCACACATAGTTCAGGTGCATTGCCTTTGTCTGAGTGTTGTGCAGGAGTAATCTCAGGAACAATAGAAAGAATTGTTCATAATAAGAAGTTGTGATGAGCTGGACAAGGACCAGCTTGGATGGGAAGTCTTTTCTACATGCTTACTTTAAAGCAACTGAAGAACAGTAACAGAATCACACAGAAATGGAGTATCTGATTCAGTGGATATAGGCCAAATCCACAGGGTGTTTTGGGCTAGAGCCTTGAAAGGCAAAATGCTCTGTGTGGTGGAAGGCAATGTGTGTGTCAGGAGCAGTGCAGCCATTCTGTGTGTTAAGGAATAATCCAGTGCAGAAAGCCACAGTAAAGCAGCAGTGTAGAGGGAAGCAGCTAAACTCAGGAAGCAGCTGCCCATCTTTTTGCATGGAACCAACATCTTAGTGATGCACAAATCACACACACAATTTAGCAAAAGAGGATCAATACAAGTCCCTATTACAGTATTAGAGCACCCAGATGCTGTTTTCCATCCTGGTTTAGACATGTAATTTCTAGGGAGGGAGGAATTCTACTTTTAGAACCTGTTTATTTTTAAAGAAAATGTCACCATACTCAGATACATACATGCTCTGAGAATGCTGCCACTGCCCCCTGAGAGGGATGGTCCTGCTCAGCTGAGCACCTAATGGGGAGAGGTGCATCCAATCTAGGGTGACAAAGGAGTCTAAAACAGGAAGTCTGAGCTGAGACAACTCTAGGTTGGGTCTTTCTTCAGTCTGTGATAGTGAAGTTAGAAATACAAAAGTCTCTGTCTCCATACTTGCCTTTACTCCTTTCCACAGTTTCCTGTTTGTAACTTGCCAGTTTCCTGCAAAGCATGCTAATACCTGTTAAGACCTCCTTCTGTGCCTAATTCTGAATTTTCAAGAAAGGGCGATGTCTCACTGAAAGGTTGCAAAATGCAGCATCATTGCACCTGTACCAGAGCCTGTGTGTACTCAGAGCCTGCTGACATTTCTGTTCTGCATACAGCTGTAGAGAATGTCTGGTTGTGATCTGGGATGAACTTGTTTTTGTGGGTTTTTTTTAAACAGTGATTAATTATCTCCTAGCAAGGTTGTTGATGACTTTCTGATTGCTTTATCTCTCAGTAAATCTTTGGGGATAATTAGTTCATTAATAAATTAATTAACAAGCTTATTAGTGTGCTGTCTCAAATCCATAGGAAAGCTTAAAATTATTCACCTGGTCATGTGTTCCTTTATGTCTTTTTCAGAAGTAGGTAGAAGTAGGTAGGCAGGAAGCTTAATCCATTTTTAAATTTAGATTTCAGGATTTTGAAAGGGAATCAAGTGATGGCACAGAAGTGGTGGAGGCCTGGTGTATGTGAAAAAAAAAGGTCACGGAGAAGGAACTGTTCCTAAAAGGAAATGTATTTCTTTGTAGCTACTTTAAATCAGATGGTGTTAAAATGCTTATGAGATCACCACTTACTTAAAAAAATGAGCTCATTTCCTACATGACATGGACAAACCTTTTTGTGTTGAACCCACAGAATCATGCTTGTGAACCTCATGAAATTCAATGGGGCCAAGTTCAAAGTCCTGCACCTGGATCAGGGCAATGCCAAGCTGAAATAACAGCTGGGCAGAAAATGGATTTAGAGCAGCCCTGAGGAAAAGGACTTGAGGATATTGGTTGATGACAAACTCAACATGAACCAGCAATGTGGGCTTACAGCCCAGAAAACCAACCATGACCTGGGCTGCATCAAAATAAACAGGACCACAAGGTCAAGGAAGGTGATTCTGTCCCTCTTTGCCTTCATGAGACCCCACCTGGAATCCTGCATCCAGCTCAGGGGCTGAATGACATGGACCTGCTGGAACACGTCCAGAGGACTGGAGCACCTCTGCTGTGAAGACAGGCTGAGAGTTGAGCTCATTCAGCCAGGAGAAGAGAAGGCTCCAGGGACACCTTAAAGCACCTCCCATTATCTAAGGAGGGCCTACAAGAGAGCTGGGGAGGGACTCTGCACAAGGACATGTAGGGGCAGGACAAGGGGGAATGGCTTTAAACTGACAGAGAGTAGGTTTAAATTAGCTATGAGGAACAAATCCTTCACTGTGAGGATGGTGAGGCACTGGAACAGGTTTCTGAGGGAAGCTGTGAATGCCCTGTTCCTGGAAGTGTTTAAGGTCATATTGGATGGGGCTTCAAGCAACCTGCTCTAGTGGGAGTGTCCTTGTCCAGGGCAGGGGGGTTGGAACAAGATGATCTTCAAGGTCCTTTCCAATCCAAGGCATTCTATGACTTAGTTAACTGCTGCCTTCATAATACTGCCTTGGACACCACTTTTATTATTAGTGAAATATGAAGTTGTGTTTGATCTTAAGAACTGTACGCCTCCATGGAAGTGGGTTAGCATGCTTGCTCATTTATTAACTGATATAATTTGGTTTTGATTAAATATGACAGAAGTCTTTAAATATCTCCATTGTGTTTGGGCACAGCATTGTGCTTTAAAGCACTGAGAATTTGTGGGATTATTTAATGACTTTCAGAAAGGTCACATTTAGAGCAACCTCAATCTGCATCTACAACAAATGGAGGATACTAATTTGGATATTTTCATGTGTGTGCAATGAGCTTTACTTTGACAATATGTCTAAAGTTAATTAGCCTCCATTTTTCTGACTGTGTGAATAGCTTTGAGGCCAGATCTTTATTTTGGCTCAATGACAATATACATGCAGCAAATGAAAACTTTGCTTTTATATCTGTCTCTGTCTAATGGAAAAAAGACCTTCACTAACATGCCCAGAGAGCTCTCCAATAGTTGGGTCACTGGGTCTTCGGAAACTCTGTCATATAAAAACAAAACTAGTTCACAAAACAAATGAAATAAACTAGTCTCAAAATTAATACAGTCATGGGATAAAGAGAGATAAGTTCAAGCACCTAATTTTATAAGTTTGTTCTTTATGCTATATAAATCCTTCATTTAGAGATCCTGGCTTGTTACCAAAGAGCATATAGATGTAAGGACGACAAAACTCTAAGGACTCTAAGGACACCAATCTCACCAAGAAATGTCAATTGAGGTGTGCATTTAAGTTGTGCTCAGATCTAACTTTTCATTGTTGATGGTTGAAAATTTGAGGAATAAAGGGCAAAAAGCTAAAGTAAATTCTCTTTTTTTTACCTACAACTCCAGCTACCACTCCTTCATGGGAAATTGAGTGTGCAACACATAAAAAAAAAGTCATTTTTATCAACAAAAGAATTTTGCTGCCATTTCAGATTTTGATAATCTTCTTTTATACAGAAGATAGCCAGAGTGTTTTCATAATAGGTAATTATATTAAATTGTATTTACTCCTACACTTTGATATAGAAAGTACTTTAGAAAGAATGATTATTTTTTTCTCCAAACTTCTAAACTACTCCTCTACCTTTTGAGCTGTTTACTTTTGTTGTTTTTCTAATGGAAATTACAAAACTAGAATAAAGGTTGGAATAGAAAGAGAATGGCACAGCTGCACCTAGGATTAAAAGGAGCAGGAAAAAATGAGATGATTGTATTTTGCACATTTCATAATAGCTTCTTCTACATTTTGCAGCTTTTTTCATGTGATTAGGAAAAAGCCCATACATTTTTAACTTCAAGAGGATGATTTTAGAATGGCGATCATGCAGTTTGTAAGTATAATGTTTCTACAAGGACACAGAAGCAAGAGTCTTTTGACAGCAGTAGAATTATGGTGGATTCAGAATTAGTGCAGATAATATGAAAGTCTGGATCACTCATGTCTGCCTCGATATTGAACAAAAGTTCAGCACCTCTGCTTTTATTTTCCTGATTTATTTTATCCAAAGCCCTTTGTTCGTGCACAAACCTGCACTCTGAGATAATCAAAGCGCTCCAAATCCAGTGCATTTCTTAAGACTTTCTGCCTGAAATGCAAGTGTCAACAAATTGACCAGAAAAGGTACAAAAAATTTCTTTCATTCCCATTCTTTTTAATGAAAATTGCAGAAATAATTTACAACTACTTATTCTAAAAATATTTTTTCTCAATATGCCTGCTGTTGCTGTAACTGAAAGATGGGAAGTTTAAGTTAGATATACAAAAGAAATTCATTACTGGGAGGGTGGTGAGGCACTGGCACAGGTTTCCCAGAGAAGTTGTGGATTCCCATCCCTGGAAATGCTCAGGGCCATGTTGGATGAGGGAACTTGGTCTGCTGGGAGGTGTCCCTGTCCATGGCAGGGGGTTTGGAACTGGCTGATCGTTAAGATCCTTTACCATTCTATGATTCTGTGATTAGCTCAGAAGAATCCTTGCATATTACAAGAAGAGGTGTATGTACAGAAGACATGAATTAATCCTCCATTCCTACTCCTAGTGAGTGTATTTATCACAATCCAATCAAAAGTTTAAGGAAATAATTACTTCATTATAATCAAAACCAAAGAAAACATGACAAAACAAATATATCCTTTTGCAAATGAACGGTCTTTTTTTTTTTTAATTCTACAGCTTACAATATTATCTCCTTTGCAGTATTTTGTACACCCTGTTCTCATCTACAGTACTGAAGTAAGGTCCCTTTTTTCCATATTATATTGTGTGGATGACATCAGCCTTACCAGGGAAAGGCAGAACTGGGAAAAGAGATTGGGCAGTTATATGGAGGAAGAATGAATTTCCAACTCTTGTACTTTTAAAACATTTGCTTTAAAGCCTTTTTCTAGAACTTTCTGGAAACTAAGTATGAAAAATCAGATTTTGATTTTGACTGAGTCATCCCCATAACATTAGTTGTAGTTCAGAGATCTCCTCTTGCAAAGGCAGAGAGGGAGAACTATTTTAGGTAACTTGTGAATAAACTGGGTTACCTTTTAAATTGTGAGATTTTTTAAAAAATTATGTAGTAGCACAGTCTGAGTTACCCTAATGGAATATACAACTGTAAAGCAATGACTTTTTTATTACATTGGAAAAACTTGAAACTTGAGTCACATCAGCTAAATTTTCCCTAATGTGAGTCCACCAAAGTGGACTTCATTACAAGGAATGGCAAAGTATTCAATTTTATAGAAATAAGCAATGGCATCACTTACCTCAAAACTTACAGATCCATTGTGATCAGTGTCAAATGCATTAAACAGAAAATGTGCATATGTTGTGGAATCTAAAATTTAAGCAGAAAAAATATTGACAGTAAGTACATTTTATTTAATAAAAATTAATTTAATTCTATTAAAACTATTTGATACCAAGATATATTTTGATACCAAAATTTCATAGCAAGACTAGCTTTCCACTGAAATTTAAATTTCCTTTTTGGCAGGAGAGGAGGGATAAGATATAAGTGCAAAGAAACCAAAAATGAAAATTCTGTTCTGGAATATCTCTATTCATTTTTTTTCCTGTGCTTGCTAATCATTGGTACCTGAGCAAATAGCAAAGATGACATATTATTGTACTCTGAAACAGCCTGTTTTAACAGGAACACTGACTGTGACAGGGATCACATGCCTACCATGAAGACTGTGTTCATTTTCTCCCATTATATGAGGGAAGCAGACACTGCCCTCACCACACCATGTGTGCTGGTTTTGCTCTGCACACAGATCTGTTCCCCAGATTGAAGTTGATCTTTGCAGAAAGCTGCTGCTGCTGTTGGGTCCTACACTCACCCACAGGTGAGAGGAAATCCTCTCCTGAGAAGCAGATTGTTAAGCTTGCTGCTGAATTCCCATGATCGTGGCATAAGGGTTTGGAAAAATTGGCTGTGACTCACTAAATGGTCAGTAAGACTCTGAAAGATGACCTTAAACAAATCATCCCTTCACTATTTGCATACTTACTAAACCTCCTCCCCAGTGCATATTGACTCATTTCAGAAACCCACACAGCATGAATATAAATCTGTCAAGACTGTAACTTCTGTAAAGATCCTTTCTTCTATTTCCACTGAATGCCTTCTAAAAGGCACAACCTGCTCCAGAGGTAATATATTGTGAGGAGAGCACTTATCCAAAGGCAGCCCTCTGGATGTAAAGTGGAAGCTGCTGGGGTTAAGGGAAGTCAGCTGTCCTCAGTGTTTTTCCTTCCCTCAAAATCATGCAAATTAATGAAGGATGAGGGCTTGTTTACTTTTAATACTCAATTTTCCCTTTCTACCTCATATGTTTACAATAATTTTAGGCTAATTAACATAAACCTCACAAATTATTAATAAAGGGCAAAGTGCTATGAAATCAGCATCCCCTTTGCAGAACAAAGTCCCTCTCATGGAAAAACCTGATCAATGCTGAAATACCATTTTCTGATTTCTTGGCATTAACCCATTTTACCTTTTATATCAATCCTGCAAACCTTTATTTTTTACAGCCCAAACTACTCTTTTGTATTAAACTGAGCAGTAGCCTGGCGACACTTAGCTGAAATGCCACCTTGAGGAACCAGATATACCAAAACTGAAAGCTCTGTGCTTCACAGATTCAGACCTGAAGAAAATTCTCTAGTCTTACTTCAATATGTTTATTTTGTATGATGTGAGATAATCATAACAAGAAAAAACTGCAATCTTTAAAACATGTCTGTTAGCACATTTTCAGAAAATTAAATCCCCACCACCACTATTTGAGAGAGTCATTCATTCTTCCATGTGTCCTCTAACCACTGTAATTGCTTAAGCACAACTTGGCAGACACATTCCCACTTCAGCTGAAAAATGTAAATTTGTTGACTAGAGTTTATATTTAGCATTTTAATAGTCATATTTTCTATAATCTACTGAGACTTCTGTTGTGCAACAGAATATACTATGTAAATCATCTTCAGGGAAAAAATGTGTTCTAGAGGTATAATTACTGTAAAAGGAATTTTAAATACCTTCCTATTCTTTGGCACCCATTTCTTAAAAACACCTGAAATATTCCTGGCTATTTTCTGTAGATGTACAGAAAACAGAAAGGAATTTTAATTTTGTTGCCCATACATGATACAATATACTACTTTTTTGTATGATGGTATATGAAAAAAAGTCCCTAGTTGAAAAATATTTTTTCTGGTAATCTCTCTGAAAAAAAAATAAAAATCAAAAGTGTTTTTTACAGTTGTTTGCTCAAGCAATTCTGGTCTGAAATTTTGCTTTCAATACCACAGCAGGATGAGGCATGCTAGTATTTTAATTAGAGCTACTTAGTTTGATTTCCCCCTTTCCACCCTAAATCTTGAACATCATTTATTTTAGACAAAATCTTAACTTTTTAAATGAAATACAATTTCTTTCCAAGGATCTGATATCATAACTAGTAGGCTAATTTGCTATTTTAACAGGTTGAGATAGGAACAGCTCTTAAATTATAATTCCCTTGAAAAACACCATCAAAGCATTTTAGACATCAGAGGCAAAAACCAGTAATCATTACACATGGAAGAGTAGGAGTTATCAAACTCCAAGCATGATCTAATTTGTTCACAAGTGGTAAAGGAGTGTAATAATTATTCAGTGTGTGGATTCTTATCCATGACCTACTGGGCTGAAGAAAAATCCCAACTTTCATTTCAGGTGATCCACTGCAAAAAATGCAGGGGGTATATTCATTTACCTGTATGGCAGTGAATCTAAAAAGAAGTTCCTGGAGTGCCCTTTCTGGCATGGAAAGCTTTTTACAAATCTACTTTTACCTTTTAAAATACATTGCTTTTGCTGCAATCCTTTCCTTTGTGTCATTTCCTTTCCTTTGTTACTCCTGTGGCACCTTGTCCTATTTGTAATCCTCCTGTACCTGTCCTGGACAGTCTTGGAATTTGCTTGAGGAAGTGACTTGCTGGATGACATTGAAAAATTTCTTTGGTTGCCTTGAAGCTTAAAATCTTATAGACATAATTTTGTTTGTTCAGATATGAATTATGTATTGAATATATGAATTGTCATAATGATACATCGTGTTGTACCTGGTTTTTCATCACACAGACAATTGGAGCACAGACCTACATGTTTTAATTTGGGGAAAACTTTCAAGATTCTTCTTTCCTCTTTAATACTGGGATATACATAAAATCATTATTTTAAGAACAACTGAAATTTAAAGGCCTCAGCTAGACACATAATTTTGACAAGACCTTAAAGATTTAAGAACTCAGTCTGGTTTCTTAAGTAGACATCCCAGTGCAGTGCAACCCTCCTCCTCCAAAGGATGCCACTGCCCTAAATGCCAGAGGAGGATCAGCATTAACACCAGGAATAGGAGTAGAAATTAGACATTTTGTATAATCCATTTTAACTACATTAATAGTTTTTCCTCTCTGTAACAACTAGATCTGGACTAATAAATATCAGTCTTTTAATATTACATTTACTCTCACAATATCTTTTGACTTCACTTTTAGAACAAGTGTGCTTTCTCTTTGCTCATAAAAAATTCTGGGTGTAACAATAGGAAATATGATAGATTTTTTTCTATTAAGTGTAATAAAGGTGCACTAAATCACATAGAATTGTTTTCACTACCCAAGGGCAACTACAAAATATAATATTTCAAACTGTAATTGTTAGCTTGGTCTAAAAGTTTACAAAGAGACACAATCAGTAGGCAGGTCAACCCTTCTAGCCTGTGGTTCATTTCTATTGAGTGTGCCTACTTCTTAATGATTAGAGATGGTAATCTGCACTGAATGCTGCTCTTTACCTTCTAGGTCTTTATTCAAAATAAAACTAATGGGGAGATATTTTGTTCCTACCAATTAATATGGGGTTTTAAATAAAAAATGAAAAGAAGGAGTTCTGAACAGTCCCAGAGAACTACACAAATCTCAAGAGCTCTGGGAGAAGCTGAAGAAGTGGGGTTGTATGAGAATATGAAGAGGGGTAACTGAATAGCAAATACAAGAGGAAGAAAAGAGAGGAAAAAAATTCAAATTGAAAGAAATCTGAGGTTCAAGGAAAAAAACGTGTTACACAGTGTTACACATTTTTGTGTTACCTTCATTGCACTAAAAAGATAATGGAAATTTAAAAAATAACAAAACTCCTGGAAATCAGTTAATTGAAATCAAGGTTAGCATTTAAGAGAAATCCCATAGAATTAAAGGGGGGCTTCTGTTGTTGATATAAGAGGGTACCTGCAGTGCCTCCTACAGTTCCTCCTACTGTGAAACGTTTTTTTTGAGTAAAAGAGAATGGGCAAGAATTTTTAGAAAGCTTAAAGGAAAATAACCTACTCAGAGAAACTTGCTTTAATGGTATCCATCACAGCTAGTAACTTCATAACAGAAGACTGACTTCATGTAGATACCATTGCATTTCATTCAGAAATGCAGATTTAAAAATGTGTCCAACTATCAAGGAAGAACCCCTTGAGTTCAGACAGAGCTTGAGGGAACAATCTTGTTAATTTGAGCAAGAGGCTCTTGTCAGACTTAGGAACTAGCAGACATATTGCAGTACTAATTATGTCTGCCAAGTACTTACCTCCCTGTGGAAAGAACTGAGAGTAAATCTCTTTGAAGGTTTCTTCATTGACAACACCACTGGGGCATTCCTGGAAAAAAGTAAATGAAAAGAAATGAATACCATCCGATCTGATCCACTCAGCCCATGGGTTCAGGAGACCATCCACAGTATGTGCGTAACCGACACACTAAAATGCATGACTTTGCACTTTCAACCAATTATTAATGCACATTATCACACTGAAGTATCTTCCTAAAGAATTCCCATGAGACAAAAAGTCCTTCTATGCCATGGATCTCAACTTCCTTTGAGGCCTGAGAGACACACGTGGGCAGCAGCCACGGTGCTGCTGTGGGTGGAGCTGTTGTTGGAGCTGCTGTGCCACCTGTGTGCCATGAGCAGTCACTCCCTCAGCTGCAATCAGCATTTGTGTGGCATGGAAATCAAGCAGGAATGTAAACACTTTGGTATTGCTGATAGTACATGCAGTCACATTCTACTGGAAGAGTTCTATTCAAGGAATTCAAAACACCCTGCCATTGAGGGTCTTGTTCAAACCTTGCATGTGGCATTCACATTCTCTGAACAGGATTCCTTTGCCCAGGGTTTTTCTCCTGGGAAGCTGAAAGGCAGCGAGAGGCCTCAGAGAAAAGAAAGACAACTCTTATCTCATTTGCTTTGCCTGTGTTTTGCTCATGTGGAATGTGTTTGGAGATTGTTTATCCAAGATGATTTCTTGATTGGACTTTGCTGAGTTATTTCAACTCTGGCCAATTGGGGCCAAGCTGTGTTGGGGCTCTGGAAAGAGTCACGAGTTTTCATTAGTATCTTTTTAGCATTTAGGAAGTATCTTTTCTGTATTCTTTAGTATAGTATAGTATTCTTTAATATATAAAGAATAGATAATATTCTTATTATAAGAATATTACAAATATAATAAAGTAATAAATTAGCCTTCTGATAAGATGAAGTCCTCCTCATCATGCCTTCCTTCGTCAGTGGCCCTGCATTTACAATATTTGCAGATCCTTTTGCCTCTTTACACCTTTTTCATAAATTGAAATATGTAACACAGAATATGTAGGAAGTTTCTGAATAGAGTGATTAGAAAGAAAATGAAAGGAAGTGAAGGAGAATAAAGAGGGTTATACCAATCACTTATGCAAAGAGGTAGGAAAAGCAGAAGGAATACTGTAATTGATTACTATGTCAAGCATAAATACACAAGACCAGAGAGCTGATTTCTAGTCCTAATTTTGCCAGACTGTGCAAAAGACTTTGGGCAATGTACTTAATTTTTTTAAGCCTTAATTTCTTCTTTAATGCAAAAAGTTTTAAGGTTCATACTTTTTTTTTTGACTATTAGCATGCTATTTGGACTGAGGACTCAAATATATGTGCTCCTAGTCCTAAACTCACTAAAATTAATAGCTGGAAATGGAGATCAAGAGTAGTGTAACATCTTTTACCAATGTAATAACAACTTTTCCTGGGAGAAAAAAATAGTATTTCAATTAGATCAAATAAGAACCACTGAGATATTCATAGTTCTGGCACCTTCTGCTAAGAAACAAATAGTGTAATCTCTAATTGAGAGACAAATGCATGGTCTGAGAAATGTATGTCAAGTCTAGGATTATCACGCTTTTATGTCAATTATCCTTCGCTAAATCAGCTTTTCATCATAACTAAGCACATGCAAACATATAGCAAGAAAGAATTCTGTTTAGTCAAAAAAACAGAAACAAACATCAGTGTCAGAGATACACATACAAAATTACTTGTCCCTGGGCACAGAGGCCGATGCAGGCACTGATGTCCCTGATGCAGGCAGAGCTAGAGCTCAGGTCTCAATCAGATGAGATAAATACTGACTGCTGAGCAACACTGCCTTTGGAACCCAAGCCTTTGGGGAATGGGAGGAACAGGGAAATGAATCTCCACCCTTCATTAGGTAAGGAGCAATCCATAATTGAGAAGGCATCTCCCTGTCTGTCATGTCTTTGGGTATGAGGGCACTCTTAAACATCTCTCTCTCTTACCAGCTATCCAAAAATTCTGTAGTCAGACAGGCCACTGTCTCTATGGTTTCTAGCAGGTTTACAAGTAACAAGCATTAGGACAAGAGGAAATGGCCTCAAGTTCCCCCAGGGGAAGTTCAGATTGGATATAGGGGAAAATTTCTTCACCGAAAGGGTTATCAAGCATTGAAACAGGCTGCACAGGGAAGTGCTTGAGTCACCACCCCTGAAGATATTTAAAAGCATGTGAGTGTGTCCCCTGGGGACATGGTTGAGTTGTGGAGCTGGCAGTGCTGGGTTAATGGTTGGGCTCGATGACCTCAGACATCTTTTCAACCTTGATGATTCTATGATGCTATGATTCTACTATGCTGCTTGTCTTTGGGAAGCCTTCTGGAGTTGTATAAGGGCATGCAAAAAAGCAGTATTTCTACTTGGATTCAAAACACAATAAAGAAAACATCAGTGAATTTTTCAGATACTCATAGAAATAATATTATAGTTATTCAACTTAGAAAATGTCGCAAAAGTATTATACAACCTCCTCTTCCAAGTATATAATGGTATATGATCTATGTCATTCCCAGACCTGCAGGAGGAAGAATAAACAGCTGTTACCTTGAGATGGGTATGAGTGTGAAAAAACAATGCAGCATTTTGAAATTTAGAAAAAGAAGCAGTGGCTTCTTTCTGCTCTGCAGGTAATATTTTTTTTCCGACCAGAAAATAAAGAGCTGGGCACATTTTGAAGGAATTAAAGAGAAAACCTGTATTTTTGAATTAGTACAGGTCAGATGTTGCCTTTTCTTTTTCTCAGAAGATTAATAAACAATAGACGACAAAATGCACATTTAAGGTCATCTAACTCTATGGCTTGTTAAAATATAAAACAATTTTTTCCCTTTTCTTTGGCTGACAAAAACATTCAAATGATTCTAATTTTGCAAAGAATGCACTCCCCTTTTTTACAGGAAATGCCAACAATTCCAACCTGTGAGTCCTTAATCTGAAGCTCTGAAGACTGAGAGTCCCATTTCCTGACTGCTTTTAAATTTTGTCATGTTGGAGGAGAATTAAAGGTATTCTTCAAAAATTGATATGATTTATTATTTTTTAGTTCAAAATAAGCTGTCAGCCTTTGTTATTAGAGAAATGCATGATTTACATACCTCTTTTAAAGGCAGTCCTTTTTTTCTGTTGCTTAATAAGCTCTGGTTTCACCATACTGTTTGTAAGAATCATTGCTTGAAAAGGCAACCTACTTTCAGGTTCAGAGACTTCTATACTTCAGAGAATTATATTTTAGCAGAGCCAGGAATGACATTTTGAGTTCCTCTAGCTTGTCCCTCTGTAGTTTCCTCTGTTCTTTGCCAGAGCATTGCCAGTAACATTTTACCTTTTCCATCCTTGAAGGTCTGTAGAAATGGTGTCTTAAGGGACATTCATTAAAAATCTGAGATGCTAGCCTATTACATTTACCAGAAATATCAGCTCAAGCTTTTCTTTCTTTAGCACGCATCTTTCCTCTGAGACTCTACATGACAGGGAACACTTCTGATCTTGAATAATTTCATTCTAAAAATATATGTGGCCAACATAATTTACTTCCATGACTGTATTTTCTTGACTCATAAATCTGGCTTTATTGTGTTCATCAGGAGATTTGTGCAGTTCAGGGAAAGAGATTAAATATTGTAATTGTTAAGTACGCCCCAAGGTTTCATGTCAAGCTATTGCTGACTTCTTCCACTGTAGCAACTATAATTAAAAAAATCTATCTAACCTTTCATTAAACTCTTATAAAAGAGAGGGAAAAATTAAATAGTTCAAAAGAAAAATGTGAGGCTTATTTAAACAATTTCCTATATTCTTTCTTTCCTTGATCTGAATATAATTTATTTTGTTACAGCAAATTTCTAATTTACAAGCTTTTAAAATTGCATTAATGTATTAGATTTTCCTTCTAGAGAAGGAAAAAAAGGAGGGAATGTTCAACTTGAACTGAATCCAGTTCTTTCTCTTTGAAAGAGAAAATAATATAAACAGACAGACAGAGAATAATAAATATGATTCTGCCTTTTGATGATCTCTCTTGCTTCCTATTTCGCTGCTGGGAAATTATACCTCCAGAACATGGTCTTATGAACCACTCCAAACCCTGTAAATTATTTAGCCTCAGACAACTCTCTAAGACAATTCTCCTTCAGTATTTTTTAAAATACTGCAGTAGGTGATTCTTCTTTACTACCTAATCAACGTCCTTTTCAGACAAGAGGCAAACCAAGAAGACACAAAACCAGAAAAATAGTGAAATGTAGAAAAAAAATGAGGGAAAAATGAACTCAAAGCTCAGACTTTTGTCTGCATAACAATTCTTAATGATGGATAAAGCTGGAGTTTTGGCAAGTTTGAATATCTTTCAGTTATAGAATTTTGCATGAATAATTTCCCATCCCCTGCTGCATCTGCTGCTTCAGTTTTCATACTGCTTCATTATAGATACATGTCCATGTCCATTGATTTAAATGTCTTCTCTTTTTGCATGTACTTATATGTTCTATGTGCATGTGCCTTCTAGGAATTTGCCTTCAGCCTCCTTCTCATTCATGCTGTTGAATCTGATCAGATACTTCCCCCTAAGAAATGTAATTACTTCATTGATTTGATTTAATGAATTTCTATAATCCAATACATTCATTCATGAGTATTGTAGCCATGTTACTTGAGAATACTTTTAGAATTAAAGATGTATTTACTAAATACCAAAAGGGCTAAAGTGAAATTTTTACCTACCTTAGAGCTTCATGCCAAGAATAAATAAATTGGTAATTTATTGTAAATTAAAAACCAAATAAATTTTTAATTTTGTAACTAATTTCCTGGTAGTAAATATAAATAAACTTGTCCATGCAATATTCATCAGGAATAGATTTCATAGCCTATTTATTTTGAAGTGAGAGCAAGTGTGATAAATTTTCTGTCTTGAAAGTACTCTTAGAATACAGGATTCACTTGTGGTACTGGATTATTTAATAAAAAACATAGAACACATATCAGAAATTATCTT